GGGTTCGGTGCGTGAAACAACAGGTGATAGCAAGGACCCAGAGGAGGGCCTCGCCTCGCTTCCAGGCGGACCGGTGTCGGCGCGAAAGCGGTCTGCGAGTCAAGGGGGCCGAATTGCTCCGAACGTCGCGCGGAACGACGCTCCAAAAACCGTGGAATGTTTCCCCGAACGCCGTCCCGTACACCCTTTCGACGATCCGCCTGCTGGATGTCCCAGGTCGCCACGCCTGAAGGGGGGCCGCGCTCGCCGGATCTAGGGGGCGGCGTCTCGGAGAGGCCTCGGGGCCTCCAGCTCAGCAGTCCTCCAGGTGCCACGCCTCCCCGGTCGTGCTCCGCCCGCGGACGTGGCAGCGCGTGAGCTTTGCAGCTTCACGGCCTCTGGCCCAGCACAGATGAGCGTCTTGGGAGGTCGCCGAGATCAAGTCGCTTTTGCGAGCTGGGGCGAGCCATCGTGGTGCCATGTATACATCTATATATATATATATATACACACACACGCGCTGCACAGGCGTAAATGCACGCCCATCTCCTTGAGGATCTGTGGAGCTACAGGAAAAAGAAGGGTGCAGGGGAAGACAAATACCCCCCGAGATAGGCGAACATGCGCGAAGCCCTGGCCATTGTATGTATTTATGGGTGTCCCCGCGGGGCCCTTTGCCGAGCCCCCTCGAGGTCGCGGAGGCAGCGGGGGCCGCCCTGCTGATCGTCACGACGGCCGAGGACGGGCCTCCGATAGGCATGGGCCTCAAGGCCGAAGGCGCCGCTGGGGCGGGCTGCGCGGGCCCGTGCGCCACCGCCCTTTCCCTTCCTGCCTTCCGCTCCTCGGGACGATCGAGATGGGCGAGGATAGCACGGGCACACGGACCGACAGCAGCTCCCTGCACCCTGAACCGGGCTCGCTGCCGGCGTCGCCGCGGGCGTGGTCCACTCGAGACGCCGTCCTCTCCGCACCACTCGTGCCCTCAGGGCCGCACCGCGCCGCGCTGGCGCGGCGGCGACGCCGGCTCGGGCGTTGGAGCTCGAGCGCCGCCAGGGGCCCAGGAGCGGCTGATGCCGCGCGGTCCGCGCTGTCGGAGAGCCCACGCGGCGTCAGAGGCCAACGCCCGCGGCATCGCGACGCGAGGCAGCCGTGCCGAGTGCGCTGCCCGCCCCTCCCCGCCCAGACGGGCGAGGCGTTGGAGCCAGGAATCGCTCCTGGGTCGGCGGGGGCTCGCTGTTCCCTGGGTCACTCTGCGGTTGGAGGGTTTCTCCGAAGGGCTTAGGCGACCCCTCCTCCTCCTCCCTCCTCCTCCTCCCTCCTCCCTCCTCCCTCCTCCTCCTCCCTCCTCCTCCTCCCTCCTCCTCCTCCTCCCCTCCTCCTCCTCCCTCCTCCTCCTCCTCCTCCCTCCTCCTCCTCCCCATCCTCGAATCCTCTCCTTTCCTCGCCCTCCCCTCCTCGGGTCGCCTACGGCCCCAGGGGAAACCGTCCATCTGCGGTTGTTCCGGACGAGCCCTCCTCGTGCACCCCGCGCGCGAACTGGTGCCAAAAAGGTGTTTCGCTCCGTAGCATCAGTTGTCGCAGCTTGACTGTACAGTCGAAGAACCGAAGACGGCGTCAGCATAGTTTCTCGGAGCTCCGCTCGGATCTCTCTGATCAGCGCTGGGCACCCGGACTATGTTTTTCCCCACATCCAAAGTGGGGTTCTTGTTTTCTCTGCACACCCCGCGCAGGAACACTCACCCCACCCCCTCTCCTCTTCTGCCTTCGCACACTCACTCACTCGCTCACTCATCATCATCACCACTCACTCACACTCACACTCACTCACACTCTTTCATCATCAACCTCAGCATCATCACTCGCGCTCTCTCACTACTCAGTCACTAACATACTCATCATCATCATCATCAGCAGCAGCATCATCATCATCATTCCCCACATCCTAAGTGGGGTTCTTGTTCCCCACATCCTAAGTGGGGTTCTTGTTTTCTCTGCACACCCTCCGCGCAGGATCTCTCCTCCTCCTCCTTCTCCTCCTCCCTCTCTTGTGAGCATTCTTTTATTATTTGTTTTTGCTTTCGGCGGAACGCCCCTCCCCCCCCCCCTCCCCCCCCCCCGTAGAGAAGTTCCGGGCTGATTTTGGCACCTGCTTCAATCGATCGGACGAACTACAGGGGCCGGCGCCCCCCCCCCTCCCCCGGTAGAAACTCGAATCGCTGATGTGTGCAACTGTGCGCATTTTATCGTGCTACTCTTCTGGAACCACAACGAAAGGGCTCAGGGGCGCCAGACCCGATCGCCAGAAAGCATGCCTCCGGCTGGGCCCTCCCCTGTTATGCCAGCGACGGCCTCGTGGAATCATGAATAGGTGATCCCTAGCAATTCTGGCACAGGCTTGCCAAATCACGCATAGCCTTGGCGCAGCCCCGCGCAGCCGCTGCGCGATTCCCCCATGGGGGGTCTCCCCTAGGATTCCCTCATCGGCATCTCCCACAGGATTCCCCACATGATTCAATCGGAGGCATTGACTACGGGCCGAGAGCCGGACCCCCCCCCCCCATGCGCCTAAAGCCGGAACCCAGAATAAAAAAATGCTCACTTGGTGAATCGCGTATTTGAGCTGCTTATTTGAAGCCTCCAGTGCTCTCTGGGAATCTGTGGGGTGCTCGTCGCAGTCGTCGCTATCAACGTCGTCGTCGTCTTCGTCCTGCTCCTCGTCGTCCGCGTCCTTTTGACAGGGAGAGAGGAGGTGTGTCGGAGGGCTTCCATGGGAAGGCACATCATCATCATCATCATCATCATCATCATCATCATCATCATCATCATCACTACTCGCTGACTTGAGGCCTGCATATGGAGGAAGTATCAGGCGGGAGTCTCGTCTGTGAGTGAATTGTAAGGAAGTCTCAGGCGGGAGCCCCCTCCCTATGGGGCCCGCACTTCATGTTCGAATCCGAGCGGGTCATCCGCAACGTGCAACTGTCGTCACTTTTGGGCTCTTGAGACCTGAATATGGAGGAAATCTCGAGCGGGAGCCTCGTCTGTGAGTGAATTGCGAGGAAGTCTCAGGCGGGAGCCCCCTCCCTATGGGGCCCGCGCTTCATGTTCGAATCCGAGCGGGTCATCCGCAACGTGTAACTGTCGTCACTTCTGGGCTCTTGAGACCTGAAGATGGAGGAAGTATCAGGCGGGAGCCTCGTCTGTGAGTGAATTGTGAGGAAGTCTCAGGCGGGAGCCCCCTCCCTAGGGGGCCCGCACTTCATGTTCGAATCCGAGCGGGTCATCCGCAACGTGCAACTGTCGTCACTTTTGGACTCTTGAGACTTGAATATGGAGGAAAGCTCGAGCGGGAGCCTCGTCTGTGAGTGAATTGCGAGGAAGTCTCACGCGGGAGCCCCCTCCCTATGGGGCCCGCACTTCATGTTCGAATCCGAGCGGGTCATCCGCAACGTGTAACTGTCGTCACTTTGGGGCTCTTGAGACTTGAATATGGAGGAAGTCTCGAGCGGGAGCCTCGTCTGTGAGTGAATTGTGAGGAGGTCTCAGGCGGGAGCCCCCTCCCTATGGGGCCCGCGTTTCATGTTCGAATCCGAGCGGGTCATCCGCAACGTGCAACTGTCGTCACTTTTGGGCTCTTGAGACCTGAATATAGAGGAAAGCTCGAGCGGGAGCCTCGTCTGTGAGTGGATTGTGAGGAAGTCTCAGGCGGGAACCCACTCCCTATGGAGCCCGCACTTCATGTTCGAATCCGAGCGGGTCATCCGCAACGCGTAACTGTCGTCATTTTTGGGCTCTTGAGACCTGAATATGGAGGAAGTCTCGAGCGGGAGCCTCGTTTGTGAGTGAATTGTGAGGAGGTCTCAGGCGGGAGCCCCCTCCCTATGGGGCCCGCACTTCATGTTCGAATCCGAGCGGGTCATCCGCAACGTGCAACTGTCGTCACTTTGGGGCTCTTGAGACCTGAATATGGAGGAAGTCTCGAGCGGGAGCCTCGTCTGTGAGTGAATTGCGAGGAAGTCTCAGGCGGGAGCCCCCTCCCTATGGGGCCCGCACTTCATGTTCGAATCCGAGCGGGTCATCCGCAACGTGCAACTGTCGTCACTTTTGGGCTCTTGAGACCTGAATATAGAGGAAAGCTCGAGCGGGAGCCTCGTCTGTGAGTGAATTGCGAGGAAGTCTCACGCGGGAGCCCCCTCCCTATGGGGCCAGCGCTGCATGTTCGAATCCGAACGGGTCATCCGCAACGTGTAACTGTCGTCACGTTTGGGCCGTTGAGGCCTGAATATGGAGGAAGTATCAGGCGGGAGCCTCGTCTGTGAGTGAATTGTGAGGAAGTCTCAAGCGGGAGCACCCTCCCTATGGGGCCCGCACTTCATGTTCGAATCCGAGCGGGTCATCCGCAACGTGCAACTATCGTCACTTTTGGGCTCTTGAGACTTGAATATGGTGGAAGTCTCGAGCGGGAGCCTCGTTTGTGAGTGAATTGTGAGGAAGTCTCAGGCGGGAGCCCCCCCCCCCTATGGGGCCCGCGCTTCATGTTCGAATCCGAGCGGGTCATCCGCAACGTGCAACTGTCGTCACTTTTGGGCTCTTGAGATTTGAATATGGAGGAAGTCTCGAGCGGGAACCTACGGCCCAGCCCGAAGGTTTGTCCCGACGGCTTCGCGATCTAGCCGTCGGCAGACGCGCGCGCGCTGGCCGAGGCGGCGACGGCGCGGAGGAAAATGGATTTGCTTGCCCCGACGAGGGGGAAGGGGAGGTGCACATGGAGAAAAGGCAGGGGATGAGGAGGGAAGGGGCATGCGGGAGGCCGACGACGAGGAGGAGGTGGCGCGAGAGGAGGAGGAGGAGGAGGAGGAAGAGGAGGAGGAGGAGGAGGAGGAGGAGGAGGAGGAGGAGACAGAGGAGAAAGAGGAGGAGGAAGAGAAATAGAAGGGGGAAAAGAGGGCAGTGCAGGCGGCGAGAGGAGAGGGTGTCCGCCAGGGGGAGGAGGAAAGGGCAAAGAGTAAGCTAAACAGATTCTCTTGCGGGGTCCTACCGTCGGAGTTTTTTTTTGTGGGAAGAGTATCTTTGCTACGCTGCGCTATCATGGCCAGGAGGCTGGCGGGACCTTTCGCATGTGTATGCGCCTGATGTTTTTTTTTCTTTCTTTCACCCCCTGGAACAAACGGGATATGGTCTTCGAGTGCGCGATTCCTACCCCGTTCCAGATACTAGCGAAGGTGTGTGCTAACTGCGCGACGGTTCACCGAACCATTCATTCATCACTGTGCCAAGCGCGTATCTACGTGGTGTTCGCGTGTAGGATGGCCATCGCCGCGACAACCAGACACCCTTTGAGCAATTCGTCACGACAGTTTTCACATCGGTTCTTGAGCAATGTTTGGGAGCATCTTTCGCCAGGAGGAACCCGAGGCGTTCATACCTCCTTGGATGCGCGTAGGAAGAAGTAGTATTATTGATGTGTCGGAGGTTGATCGACCTCCTACCCTGACACGTCGATTAGCGAATTGGCCGTTTTCGGTTCGCGAGGGGGCGTCGCGGCCGTCATTTTTGCGGGTCCATGTCCGTCGGTTTCGGTCCTAGGCCGTTTTTACTAAAGGGTGGTTTACTAAAGGGAAGTTTGTCCACCGCCGAATGTGGTAGTTCGGATCGGTTGTCGCTCGGCGGAATTCTGCCCGCCTCTGGTGCGGATTGTTCTCCGCGAGGGGCAATTTCAGAAGCCTTGGTTTAAGTCGGGCACGTCCCTCTACAGGAGGAATATTCAAAAATAACACCAACAAGTAAGGTGAGGATTTTTAGAATATTTTTGGCCATTTTGGAATACTTTTCTACTATAGGTTATTGTTCGTTCAGAATCCCCCCTGTAGAAGGACATGCCCGCCTTAAGCCTTGGTGATTGCTCTCCCTTCGGCCGGCGGCGCCCAGCTCTCGCCCCCTCGGCATGCGCGCTCCCCCCCCTTTCCCCTCCTTTTCCTCCACCTCCTCCTCCCCCTCCCGCTCCCCTCCCCTCCTCCTCCTCCTCCTCCTCCTCCTCCTCCTCCTCCTCCTCCTCCTCCTCCTCCTCCTCCACCTCCTCCTCCTCCTCCTCCTCCTCCTCCTCCTCCTCCTCCCGATTTGGATCCACCCTCCGAGGATAGCCTCTGCGCCTTTGAATGGCTAGCTGATGGACGAGCTTGGCCCCCACGGAAGTGTTTTCCCGAAGCAGTGTTTGCATTGAGTTTTTAATTTGTATTCGAAGTAGCCGGCCTGCAGCTATGTAGTCGCCGTCGCCGCCCCGTCGTCGCCGCCCGTCGTCTGGGCCTCAAGATCGGTCTGGCGGCTGTGTACTCGTCGTCGTCGCCCCGTTGCCGCCTTGTCGCCGCCGGTCGTCTGGGCCTGTCTGTCGGTCTGGTGGTTATGTTGTCGCCGTCGCCCCCCCGTGGCTGCGCAAATTGCACAACGTTGATTGCACCGCATATATTTCAGCACACAGGTTGCACCACATAGATTGCACCACATACGTTGCATACCATGATTTGCACCACGCATAATTGCATCACATAGATAACACAAGATATAACGCGCCATTTAGATGGAACCGTGCGGATGCGACCGTATGTTTCCATGCGCACCACATAGATTCCACATACATTCCCCGTTCTGAAAAGAAAATCGAGTCCCCCCCCCGAGGCCGGACTTGTCACTCCCCCTGGGGATGTGCAATTTATAGATTCTTGCCCCACCACCCATCTTGAATATGAATCAGTACCATCCCAGCCCAGCCGGTATCCGCCCCCCCTCCTTTTGCAGGCAATGATATGCGCGCTCTCGTTTATCAAGCATGATTCGTTTTCAAAAGTCCCTTGCAAAGGAATTTGACAAATTATACATTCGCGCGCTGTCGCGCACGCGTGCCGGAATCCTTGCAAAACCTGTGGCTTCAATCGAGTGTCCAAAATAGACATGAAAAGCACTTTCGCAACACGGATGCTCAACAAAAAAAGTTGCGCGCATTTTTGCGACTGAAACCACACGGGTTTCGCGTTTGTCGAAATCGTTCGGATTCCCTTGCGCGCGAGCCGTCGCAACAATTCTTGGGTAAAGATGCGACGAAGTGCAGGCGCGCGCGTCGCCGCGCGCGCATGCCGTGCTCGGCCGAAAGCCGTCAGTTGCGGAACGAGTTCAACACCGAGTGCCTAACACAAATATAACACACATGGTTTCGGAGCATCAGTGTTCAAAAAATCGTGCGCTCGCGTTTTTTTTACAAACAAAATCTTCATAAAACCATCGCGTGTTCAACAGTCATGGAATCCTGCCGAACGGGCCTCCCGCACCGCGTGCCAATATCATTCGAACGCCCTTGCGCGCGTGCTGAAGGGGCACGATCAGTGTCAAATAGTTCCATGCGGGCCACTCGCGCGTCGTCCGCGCGCGCGCGTCGAACTTTCTCCAAAACTTTCATCGCCGACGCGAGGGCGCCGTCATCGTCGCCGGCGTGATCAGCATCGGCGCCGTCATTGGCCTTGCCGTCGTCGCTATCAACATCGCCACCGTCGCTACTATCGCCCTCGCGTTTGCCAGCGTCGGCGTTGTCATCAGACCGCGCCCGCCCAAGTCGCCGACTCGCAATTGAATGGTCGCAGGGCAGTGCCAAGCGATCAGCGCAACGTCGGCCGCGTCGGCCGCGCCAAACAAGCTGGCCGCCGCGCGCGCACGCATGCGCGGGCTAGCGCGGCCGCAGAGGCGCACTGGCCAAAGCCAAGCGCTCACCACAACCGCCCCCGCATGGGTTTTGCAAACCAAGGTGCGGGTGGGCGGGTGGGGCGATTGCGCGGGCAGTGGAGTCGACAACGCGAAGTTCGGCAAAGTGAGCTCTTGTTTGAGAAAGAATTAGGGCCCCCCCCCCGCTTTATCGATCCATGCTTTAGTATTGCAGTTTTAATGAGATTCTGCCCCATCGCCCATCCCCCACATGAGTTCGTGCCATCCCAGCCAGGGCCGCATCCCCCCCACCCCCGCCATCCTTTGCAATCGTATATATATTTATATATATATATATATATATGCGCGCCCGCTTATCAACAATCGCTAGTTGTCAAGAATCGCTAGCCACACAAGACGCAGTGCGCACGCGCGCGCCGTCGCGCGCGCATGCCGAAACTTTTTCGAAAACCCTCGTTTTCGGAAGGCTTCCGAAATCGAGCGTCTAAAAAAATATAAAGGCACGAGGTTCCGCAACGCGGATGCTCGACAAACCGGGCGCGCGCGTTCTTGCGAGTCCTGGAGAAACCAATTTTTTGTTTTAAAGCATTTCCAGAACCTGTTACCACGCGGGCTTCGCGCGCGCACGTCGAAATCGTTCGAGCGCCTTTGCGCGCGTGCCGACGCGAGAATCCTGATCGAGAAAACGATTCGAAGCGCGCGCGCGTCGTCGTGCGCGCGTGCCAAAATCCATCAACACCCGTTGGTTGCCCAACCATTTCAGAATCGAACGTCCACACAACATTCAACATCACAGGGTTTCGCAAAATCAATTTCCAACAAAAAACTCGCGCGCGCTCTTTCGTATTCTGGGGAGAAGCATGAGCTTATTCGACATCTTCGTGGAATTCTGCCAAACGGGCCTCTGGCGCCGCATGCCGACGTCATTCGCGCGCCCTTGCGCGCGTGCTGGAGGCGCGATCCGCGTCGACAAAAAATCGCGCGGGCCACTCGCGCGTCGGCCGCGCGCGCAAGTCTAACTTTTCCAAAACCTTCAACGCCGACGCGAGGGCGCCGTCATCGTCGCCGGCGCGACCAGCATCGGCCCCCGCGCTGGCCGCGCAGTCGTCTGCGCGAACGATCATCGTCACCAGCGTCGCCACTATCATCTTCGCGTCTACCGCATTCGGCGCTGCCGTGACACCGCGCCCGCCCAAGTCGCCGACTCGCAGTGAAGTGCCCGCAGAGGCGCGCCCGCCGATCAGCGCCGCCGGCGCAGCGTCGGCGGCGCCAAACTAGCTGGCCGCCGCGCGCTCGCGCCGGGGTTGGCGCGGCCGCAGAGATGCACAAGCCAACGCCAAGCACGCGCCGCAATCGCCACCGCGTGGGTTTTGCAAACCAGATGGCGGGCGGGCGGGTGGAACGTTCGCAAAAGCATGGGACGCGTCAACTCATAGTGAAAAATTCAATTGAACCGCTTAGACTGCACCGCGCCGGTTTCACGGGGTACTTCGCGCACCATTTAATATTTCATTTGGGGGCGGGTATAATCTACTCCAATCCACCCCAGGACTTTTTCCTCAATTGGTTTGGGGTTATATGCTACCCCCTTCCCCTCGTCAATCCAAAACATGCGCTCATGCCATCCGGGCCAAGCTGGCATCGACGTTCCCCCGCTATCGCCTGCAAGAAATGCCATGCGCGCTTTCGTTTATCAGCGATCAGCAGTTTTCAATAATGCCTAATTCGCGGGACGAATTGCACGCGCGCGCGTCGTCGCGCGCGCGTGCCGGAATCCCGGAACAGAAAAATCGGCTCCGCGCGGATATCAGAAATCGAGTTTCGCGACACATGTAAATAATGTATCACGCATTTCAAACACTTTGCGCCCGCGCTCTCGCGAATTCTTACGACAACCATACAGTCTTCAACAAGTGCATCGCATGCTTCCACATTGCCCTCGCGCTCGCCCGGGCCAAAATCGTTCGAACGTCCTTGCGCGCGCGTTGTCGCCATAATCCCTTGCGCACAGCGGGGCGAAATGCGCGCGCTCGCGTCGTCGCGCGCGCGCGCCGGAATCGTTGAAATCCAATCGCTGAACTTCGCAGGGGTTTCAATAACGATTGCCCCAGAAACGTATAAGAACCGCGCGGTTTTGCAACATCCGTTTTCCAAACAAAAATGCGCTCACGTTTTCGCGGATGCTTGCGGCAACCATCGGTTTCCCATAGTGTTCACCAAACTCTGCCACGCGGGCTGTTCGCGCCGCAGATCGAACTCATGCGAACGGGCGCCTTTGCGCGCCTGCTGGCGGGGGGGGGGGGGGGGCACGACCCGTGCCACGCAGTACGACGCGGGCCACTCGCCCGCGTCGGCCGCGCGCATGTCGAACTCTCCTCAAAATCGCCGACGCGGGGACATCGGAATCGGCATCGGCGGGCGTGATCAACATCGGCGCCTTCATTGGCATTGCCGTCGTCACCGCCACCATCGTCACCATCATCGCTAGTTTCAGAACCGTGTTTACCGTTGTCGGCGTCGCCATAATACCGCGCCCGCCCAAGTCACCGATTCGCATTACAGTGCCCGCTTGTCAGTGCCAAGCGGTCGGCGCCACCGAGGCCGCGTCGGTCGCGCCAAAGTAGCTGGCCGCTGTGCGCGCGAGCGTGTGCGGGTTAGCGCGGCCGCCGAGATGCACCAGCCAACGCCAAGCACTCACCACAATTGCCGCCGCATGGGTTGTGCAAACCAAAATGCGGGTGTGTGGGAGGGATGTGTGAAATAATAGAAAGTGTGAACGAATTTGTAAAACAAGCCAAAAACAAAAACACATATTGCACCACACATATTGCACCTCACATGTTGATCCGCGTAGATTGCACACCCCTTTACTGCTACAGAAACATTAATTGGGGTCCACATTAGCTAGCATAATATTTTTCACATGATTTAACCAGTCGTTTTCCCCATGCCCGCCTGCCTCTTCCACATACGCCCCGCCGCGCGACGAGAAGGCGGCAACTGGAAGGCGCCGAGGATCGTGGCGCTGTCCGTGTCGAAGAAGTCTGGCGAGCAGGCCGCTTCCGCGATCCCGTTGCCGTTTCTTGATATGCCATTCAGGGGGATGGTGGAAAACCTTTGGGTCGCGTTTGTCTAAGCGGCATTTGGTGGCAATCCGCGTCGATGTTTTTTTGCAGACGTATGCCCAGCCAGTTCCCTCGCTACATCGGTGGCAAGGCCAGTGCCGCGCATCCTCCGATGGGCCGCGCGAGACGCGCGTCTCTGGCCGCGATGGGGCAGGCGATCCCTCTCGCGCGCCTTAGTTGTCGCTAAAAGGCACTAGTTGGCGAGCAGGCCGCCAGTAGGCACTGATTGCCGCTAACAGGCCACTAGTTGCCAACAGTCGTCGCTAACAGGCCGCCAGTTGCACCAGTGGCCCATGCCACGCTACACGCCGCCAGTTGACGCTAACTGCTGTTTTCCGAAGATCGCAGTGGTCAGTCCGAAGTTCCCGAGAGAGTCCACGAGAGCTTCCTCGCGGAAGTCTTGCCCTTTCGTCGCGGATGGTGTTGTCAAAGTTCGCCCCCTCGTTTTTTTGTTTTTTTTTTTATCTTTGCATTGCCCCTTACCTCAGAAGAGGAAAACATGTTGATACCGCTACCCTTCCAGGGCGGGATTCGCCTCGAGAGCGCGGTCAGATCCCATCCCAAGAGAGACTCAAGGAGTAATCCGTACCCATTTTGGCTCAAGGCGCTCGTGCTGAGCGGCCGGCCGCCCTCCGCTGTGGCAACAGCAGCGCGCGGCCGAGCCACGCAGCGCGTGCCCCGCCCAGGCCAGCAGTTGGCAGCCGGCGCCCCGCCGCCAGGGCTGGGTCTGCGCACGCCATGGAGTACAGCAGGCTGCTGACCACGAAGAACACCTTCCTTGACTGCGAGTCCCCCTGGACGGAGCCCGTGGAGCTGCCCCGGCGGCCAAGCTCCGACCCCGGCGCCTCCAACGGGACCAGCGCCAGCACGGACCAGACCGAGTCCTCCGTGGGGTCCCGTGCGGTGGGCGCCCGCGATTCGAGCGGCGCAAGCAAGGAGGGCGCGGCCTTCGTGACCATGTCGAGGACGCAGCGCCGCGCCAAGCAGCGCAAGGACTCGAAGGCGATGAAGGCCAGGGCCGCCCTCCGCAACTCCTCCTCCGGCGCGAGCCTGAACTCGGAGCAGGACGACCTGGCGCTGGGCCAGGCCGTTGCCGCTGTCAAGCTGGCGGCTCAGGACGCTAAGGACGGCGCCCAGCCGCGGACGCAGTGCACGAAGATCTCGCTGTGAGGGCGAGGGGGATGAGGGAGGTTGTAATGTGTGGGTGGGGGGGAGTGCTGATTTGCATGCCGTAGACGTTTGTGCACTCTCACAAGGAAGCGACAGGCGAGGACAGCCAATTTTCTTAGTGGTTCAACCTCGCCCACGGCGCCGTCTCCTCAAGTCAGCCACTCGTGTTGCCCTCTGCCTGAGTCCAGCAGAGGTTGCGCCGTGGCCGTCTGCTGGTAAAGATTAACATCATGAAAGGGAACACAAACAATTCTAGTTACCTATCGTTGCATCCACCAGCCTGACCTGAATTGTTTCACCTTGCGTGACACCATTCATGAAGTCAGCCAGCGTGGACATACCACACATGCAGTCTTTCTTGTGCAACATGTGGTTGTTAATCTAGTATTTCACCTTGCGCTGTCTTTCCGCAACCGGAAGTGTGTCGGCGCATCGGCGGCATCATCAGCAGTCTTGCGCCAGTTCGGCGTCGAGCTTCATCCTTCGGCGTTCGGCGTAGACCAGGCATGGACCGCGTTTCATCCTTCGCCCGCATGCTGCTCACGCAGTGCACTGATGCAAGACAGGTACTCGATACTCGGCCCCCCTTCTTCTCCCTCCCATTCTGCAGACATTCCACCGGCTTCCAGTCCCTGGGTTTCCCATCTGAGGGTTCCCGATCCAATGCTCTCACCGTGCAGGGGCGTCGCAGGACGCTCTCCTCTCTGTGTATGCAGCACACTCGCGGACTTCCCGGGTAGGCAGCTGGAAGCTCATGGCCGCCACGCGTGCCGCCGCCCGCGCGGGCCACGGCAGCGGGATGCTTTGCGCGCGGCGGATTTCCTTGGTAGGCAGCTGGAAGCTCATGGCCGCCCCGTGTGCCGCCGCCCGCGCGGGCCACCGAGTGGCGAACGGCGACAGCGAGATGCTTTGCGCGCGGCGGATTTCCTTGGGAGGCAGCTGGAAGTTCATGGCCGCCCCGTCTGCTGCCGCACGCGCGGGCCACCGAGTGGCGGACGGCGGCAGCGGGATGCTTTGCAGTGGGCGGGAGCATCGGCCCGTTTTTGCGTCTCCGAGCCTTTTTTGTTCCCAACCCTCCTTGGTTGGTTATTCATTTTGAATAGGGCAGTGCGGTCGCGTCCTCATGCCCCGCATTGCGCAGGGGTTGGTTGGGTACGTCGCCAGGGTAATTCCCCGAACTCTTTCAGTGCGTCCAAAGGCCCTCCGGGTGGCCTGCATGCGGCCCTCGGGACAGGGGGGGAGTCCCGGTTCTGAGCCGAGCGCCGCGCCGTTTTGAGCCGAGCTCGCTGCTCCCAGCACTGGCCCCATGGGTGGCAGCGTTGGTGCATGCGACGGCCGGAGGAGGAGGTGGAGGTGGGGTGGTGGGTGGTGGAGGAGAGAGGACGTCGGGTCGAACGGCGCCCCTCAGCGGGGGGCGAGGGGCAACGCCACGGCGAAGCTCGCCCTTCCGTGGACTTTCTCCGCGTCCTGCTGCGGCCATCTCCACCATCATCATCTCCACCATCATCTTCTCCTCCACCATCATCATCATCATCATCTTCATCTTCATCATCGCCTGTGGGGATAGCGATCGGTCATCGATGCCACGAGCTCAGTTTGCCTCCTCCTGCCCATCCTCGAGCCGACGGTCGGGCAGCGCGTTGTCGACGCGCGCCCACCTTCAGATGCAGATTTTTACGTGCAGATTTCACGTGCAGATTTTCACGTGCGGGCATCTCCTCCTCCTCCGCGAAAAAAAAGAGAGACTCAGGGAGTAGCAGTGTTGGTATTCTGTCTGTTTCTTCACTATCATCCCTTCTTATCCCCTCCCCTCTTCCTCAATTGATTTCTCGTTCCGTTTCATCCGTCGCGTCTATTTGTTATCGCCCCCGTCTCCTTCAGCGTTCTCGTGGCTGATCTGGGGGATTCGCAAGTTCTATGCCACCAGTGTCGAAGCCTTGCGGGATCTGATGGCTTGCTGGTGGCCTCGGAGACATTGATCGAGGGATGGGTACTGTCAGCCAGTAGCCGAAGCCAGCGCCATCTCCGACCACCAAGGAGTTGAGTTTGACGCTCTTCGGGTGTTTTGAGCGGATATCAGTGGTCATGAAGATGTTTTGCCTTTTGAGCGTTTTCGCACTGTTACCCAATTGACACACCCCACCTCAGCCATCCGTGTTGATGTGTCCACGCTTGCACCTAGTTGATGGCAGCTACCCCCTACTCTACTTTCCCCCTGTTGCCTTGACCCACACCCGCCACGCCATTGGTATGGCAGGTGGTCGATGCGCTCGCCCCTAGCCGCAGCAGCTCCCTGGCGCTCCCTATTTCAGTTCGGCCTCGCTTCCCCGTCCTGCCCAGCACCACCCACCTCCCCATCCTTCGTCATTTCTTCACTCGGCGGTTGATAGACCTCCTACCCTGACACGTCGATTAGCGAATTGGCCGTTTTCGATTCGCGAGAGGGCGTCGCGGCCGCTATTTTTTCGGGTCCAGGTCCGTCGGTCCCCGTCCTAGGCCGTTACCACGAAAGGGTGGTTGACTAAAGGGAGGGCTTTGATTAAAGGGAGGGTTGTCCACCGCCGATTCACGTAATTCACGTCTCTCTTCTCTCGAACGCGCCCCGAGAGGCCAAATCAGCTGAGGCAGGCCTTCTCGGAAGGCGGCGGGGCTTCCCAGAAGCCCTGCGGCCTCCAGAGGAGCCCCCATGTGGCCTGGGAGGCGGCTCGGAAAGCTGCCCAGAGGGCCGGAGACCTTGAGCCTGTTGAGCTGGCCCGCGCCCTCCTCCTCCTCCTCCTCGACTCCTTCTCCTCTTCCTCCTCCTCCTCTTCCTCCTCCTCCTCCTCCTCCTCCCTCCTCCTCCTCCTCCTCCTCCTCCTCCTCCTCCTCCTCCTCCTCCTCTCCTCCTCCTCCTCCTCCTCCTCCTCCTCCCCCTCCCTTCCCTCCTCCTCCTCCTCCTCCTCCTCCTCCTCCTCCTCCTCCTCCTCCTCCTCCTCCTCCTCCTCCCCCTCCCTTTCCTCCTCCTCCTCCTCCTCCTCCTCCTTTCCTCCTCCTCCTCCTCCTCCTCCTCCTCCTCCTCCTCCTCCTCCTCCTCCTCCTCCTCCTCCTCCTCCTCCTCCTCCTCCTCCTCCTCCTCCTCCTCCTCCTCCTCCTCTCTAGTGCTGCTATGAATGACCTTTCTCCCCAACAGTAGGACAAGTTCTTGCAGTCCTTCTGCGAGTTTAGCAATTTCATGCACAATATCGCGAAACGCAAAAAAAGGTGCACGTCCGGTTGGAGTCACATGTTGCCGAATTTCTTTGTTCAGGTATTGCAGTGCTCAGTCGAGTAGACATTGCTAAAGTGTTGACGCACATGTATACATCCGCCACGGCCAGAATCCAGGGAACCGAAACCAAAGCGAACCGCGCTTGGCTCAAGTGGGCCAAGCAGAGTTTTTTGTCCATGGATCCTCCCAAGCCCACCGTTTTACTAAAGTGCGTGCCGTGCAGGAAGTTATAAGGTACGGCGCAGCTGCGCAGCCTGCTGACCCAGTGCAGCAGGAGTTAGAGCCGTCGGCTAACCTGTGGCTGACACATGGCTGCTCCCCTCTGGCGCTCCCCGAAAGTGCCCATCGCTGGCCCGCCCTGCCATGTATCGAACCGCACCAAGTCAAGCAAACATTTCCGAAATTTAACACTAGGAGTGCTGCTGGCCCCTCGAAGATCGCCCAAAGAGCCCTCTGGCACCTCTTGAATGAGGCCCGCGCTAGCATCGATTGCCTGTTTAACACATGTGAACACGTGTTGGTTTGGCCAATGAGTCGCGTTATTACCGAGCTTGTTAGACTGGCCAAACCAGACGGCGGCACGCGGTTCATCTCTGTCATTCAGACCTTGTGCAGGCTCTGGGGTAAGATCCGACAGCCCCTCACTGGAGCCTGGCGAGAAGAAAACTGGTCTTGCGAGCCCTGGGGAACCCACAAAGGCCGCTCCTCGACCGGCAGCGCCTTTTCTCACAATGTAAGCGTTGAGGTGTCGGCCTTGCTGGGCGGGATTTCAGTCACGGGGCTGCTAGACATGATTAAGTGTTTCGAGATGATTATACCTCACAGATGCTGCGAGAGGCGATGGAGCTAAAGTTTTCTGCCAGATTGGCCTGCATGCTCATCGACCTGTACAGACAGCCTAGAAGGCTGAAAGCATTTGGATGTGTGTCTCGGGAGGTGCAGGCGTTTCAAGACATCCTCGCTGGATGCTCACATGCTACAGGAGTACTGCACCTTCTCACGCTCAGAGCAAAGCGGCTTAGCGTCGTGGCACCATGCATTGCGCCAAGGGCTCGAGTAGATGGCATGTCCGTCCAACTCACCACTAACGACAAGGCCGACATTCGTTTGCTGGAGAAAGCGGTGCGAATTTCGAATTTTTGCTTACGGTGCCAAACTTTTGGGGCTCCACGCCAAGCCTAAGAAGTCTGGCATCGCCACTGGCACTGCGCGCTCCAGGATCCTTTTCGCCAAGCATGCCAAGCGTCTGGCATTGCAGCTCAGACCTTGGGTGCGCAATTTAGGCTATGAGCTTTCTGCTATGAAGGTCAGACGCTGCCAAGAGAAGGCCAGAGTCAAAGCCTTCCAGCAACGCAAGAGGAAGTACATTGCCCTCAAGTGTGCCACTGGCCGTCGCACCTCCAAGCTTTGGAGGGCGGGTGCTCTACCTGCGGCTGCCGATGGAGCTGGCGCGGCGTGGGGGTCGGACGCGGCCCTCAGATACGTTCGCAAGTTTGCCCCAGTGCTTGCTGGAGGCAAACCGCACGGTGGAGCCACCGTCTACCTCTCGCCAACCCAGACGCGAGATACGACCCCAGATTTGATTGTACGTTCGGCATCACGGTCAGATACGCGACGTGGGCATGGGATGCTCGGTTCTCGTTGGTGAAGCTCCAGCGCGCGCGGGCTCAGCTCGCACGCGTTATGCAGTCCAACCCGACATGGCAGAGTGCTAGAGGGCCTATTTCCTGTATTTGGTTGCCGTTCATACGCATTGGCTGGGCCATGGCCCGCCTGGAGGGCGCCCACATCAGCCTTCTCAGTGGTGCCGGCATGGCGTCAAGCTCCACCTCATCGGGGGCATCGGGCGGTGGCAGCACGGCAGGCTGCTGCGCCGCGCGCCCGCGTCCGACGGCAGTGAGGTCATATGGCGCAGTGCTCTCAGGAACGGGCTGCGCCGCGTCGCTTGCCCGGAGCAGCTGGGAGCGCTGTCTGCGGTCTGCGCCAAGGTCCCCCCCTCCCAGCCGCCCGCGCGGCCCGGGGGCATTTCGCAGAGCCTCGCTGTCGAGTGCGCTTGCAGGCCAGTGGCACCCCTGGTCACATCTGGCACCACAGGGATGATTGATGAAGACCAGGACCCATGCGGAGATCCTGTGCCTGAGTCATTCATTAGTCACAGGCAGGCCCTGACTCAGGCCAGCGTCGACATCACGGCGCAACCGCATGTCGGCACCGCGTATGTGACCGAGAGGTTTCTTTCATTACCCAGGACCGTGCACGTTCAGGCCCCCCAGCTTAATCGCGTCGTTGTCTCGTGTGTGTGCGGGGGGGCGGGGCGTTGAAGGAGCTTTGGGGCCTGATGTGTTTGTAGACGGCAGCTGCCTACAGTCCAGTTTACCTGAAGTTTCGCGTGCAGGATGGGCCGTGGTCCAGATCCTTCCCTCGCTCCAGCCGTGCCGCGCCGCGTGCGGCGCGCTTCCTGGCCAGTTTCAGACGATCGGGCGAGCCCGGAGGTGGGCTGTCAGGCAAGCGTGTTCTGTTCATCCTACGCCGTCGCGTATCACTTCCGACCTCCAAGCCACAGTGCGCGAAGGTAACCAGTGGAGCAAGGGCTCTGCAAGCGGCGCTGCCAAGCACGCTGCGACATGGGCTGATGTATTTCGAATTCGCGCGAAAGCCCCGCAAGTTTGCTGGCAGCCTGCTCGCCTTTCATCGCTCGATGACGCGATTGAAGAAGGGCTGTGCGTTCACCGTTGGGTTGGGAATAGATGGGATGATTTGTTCGCTAAAATCGGTTTGACATCCCGCGCTTTCTTTTCTGAGGGGCTCGCTAAGGCCATGGCAGGAGAGTTTGGATACCACGAGTGCACTGT